GAAACTATGTCATATAAGTGAAATTAGTTGACACCAATGTTTTGGTTTTTGAATTATCATGTAATAAAAATGAAGCAGAAGAAAGACGAAGAAGAAATTCAAACTTTTTGGTGCCACCCCCCCCCCCCCTACGTGGCACAGCGGTATGTCTGCGAACTTACAACGATAGAATCCGGGTTTCGATACCCGTCGTGGGCAGAGCACAGATAGCCCATTGTGTAGCTTTGTGCTTAATTACAAACAAATAATTTTTTTTGCTATGATATTTACAGATATTTCTAGAACTTGTGACTCGGTCATTACATAGATACTGTTATAAAAAGGAAACACTGTATAGTATTGTCAAGTTCTGATGACTTACAGAAGAGATATTTAAAATACCATTTCGATTAACAATCCGGGCCATCCCTACATAGGCAGTGCTACTGTCTGACTAATGTTTTGATATGGAAGTAAATGCTCCTAAATTATTTCAGATATAATATTGTTAAAACACTCAAAGTTAATAATATTTTGAAGTGAAAATGATAAAACAGAAGAGTTCTTTTAGTTAAAATAAACAGTATCAATCGTACTAGAAACGCAATGTCTATAGGTACAGAGAACGAGTTTGAAAATAAAGGCGATTGCAGTAGAGATTGTGAAAATCAATTGGAAATGATTTCACTGAAATGTAAATGTTTCAAAATAGGAAGCGCATTAAATATATGTGGAAATGACTAAAATCCGAGAATCTCGATAAGGAGAACAGAAAAAAAGTATTCAACTAAAAACACAGAAAGCGTTGTCACGTAGCTTCAGGATTATATAAAAAATATGTCATTTTTTCTTTACCAGCAATAACAGACTTAAACCTTCTATTATGGAACAATAGAAAATAATACTTTCTACTTTCTTTCCAATGATTGGTTTGAATTTCACGCAAAACTACACGAGGGCTATCTGCGCTAGCCGTCCCTAATTCAGCAGTAAAAGACTAGAGGGAAGGCAGCTAGTCATCTCCACCCACCGCCAATTCTTGGGATACTCTTTTACCAACGATTAGTGAGATTGACCGTCACATTATAACGCCCCTACGGCTGAAAGGGCGAGGACGTTTGATGAGACAGGAATTCTAACCCGGGACCTTCTTATTGTGAGTCAAGCGCCCTAACCATCTCGCCAATGACTATTATTTTAAGCGTTTGTTCTACTTCCACAGAATAGGATTTTTAGTTATACATATATACACACGTACTAGATGTACTTTTGCAGGGTCCCCGAAAGCGTTCTGTTTCAAGAGTAAAGAAAATCAAAATTAAGAGTAACAAATATTTTTGTTTCTTGCTTTTGAAGTTCATATGTCATGCTGTGTTGTAACATACAGAATGCATAATTCTTCTCGTGATTCATGGCATGCACACGTTTTACTGACTTCAAGACAGTACAAATTGCAACTTTAAGCGTCCCTTATGTGACGTTATTTTAGTGTTTACTGACTGACTGACAGACAACACACTACTGTATAGTGGTGCGGCCCCCTTTCGGGGTAATAACTATCGACCTTCATCACTCTTTTACTGCATGGTGTTATAAAACTGTTAATAATTGCTACTCAAATCTTTAATAGTATTCACAAATCAATTTTTTTTTACAATACTCCATAGAAAGTTGTTTATAACGTCTATATGTTGATGAAACTTTCGCTAATTGTTTATACCATTTATATTATTGATGACATTGAAGCTGTCATTAATCACAAAAAAATACTTTACCTCATGTAAGTATTGATCTTGAAAAATATTTGATTGGATTTAAAAAGTATACACAAAAAATACGTTTGAACTTTAAGGATTGAGAAATTCAAGGAACAGAACTATTTTCTAGAGTAATGCTTCTTTTTTTATTGAATGCAAGGTTCTGCCTTCAAAAGAAACTACTTCTAACAATAAAGTACAAACAGTTTACTCTTCACTTTCTTTAGGATGGGCCCTCTTGTAATTGCTTCACTAGCCCATGAATAATATGAAGCCTCATTTTTCTTTCTCAGACTTCAAATGACTATTCATAATTAATTATTCTGATTATATTCGTAATTTTACTAGACAAGAAAATATTTTCAGTTAATTTACGGAAGACTATTGCTTTTAGTCTGATATCATATTTGAAATTTAGTGCGTCAAAATCACAAAACTTATGACTGTTGTTCCCCGGTGGCTCAGCTATAAATTTAAGGGCTTATAACGCTCAAAATCGGGTTTCGATACCCGCGATGGGAAGAGCACAGATAACATGTTGTATAGCTTTGCGCTTAGCAACAACCAACCAACTATTATAACTGTAGCATGGAGAAATAGCTTTGATTACTCGAGGAGATCTAAGACAAACGATATACCTAATCAAAAATGATTTCCGTAATTCATCGAATTTCTAAATGTAAAAATGATTCGACCTTTATCTCTCTTTATGATATGACTCAAGATGTATTCCGATCGCAGACAACATAAACGAGAACTTTTGGAACCTAAGCCTATTGACGATAAGTTACAATAGCGAGATATGTGTTTAATTAGTCATCTCTCTTTGCCTATAAGTTAATATCAGTCTTTATTCATCGATTATAAGGTCATGAAGTTCCAAGAGTTAATTCAAATTCATCTGTTAACTTCTAATTGTTTCTTTGTTCACTTTATGTTTTTCACATCTAAGATGGTTGTTCTCGTTATTAACAAATAGTAAATCACATAATTGATCTGAAATGGGTATTTCAAGGTCTTCACCTTTATTGAACCCTTTTTTAAAATTACAAATCCATGGTATTATCAAGTAATAAAACCGCTTTTCATCAACCACAATGAATATTTGTTTATATCAACCACGTGGGCGATGTTGTTTACACAGTACTTATTCTAAAGAGGAAAGCTCGTGCTTCTTCATTCTTCTCGATGACTTGTCAGTCTTCTGATTATGTTTTCTATAGTTTAATGTTAAGCAAGTGTCAATACGAAGGGATCCTCCAGAAACCAATCTACAAAAGACTTGAGATGGACAGTACTCTCATTATCTGAACCATTCTCTAACCCTTTTTTTCTAGTTGTATAGCATGATGGTGAGTTATCCAGAATAACAGTTCTCTGCTCTCATCTGGAAACCTCATCATACCACTGGCAGTTGATGAGCGTGATGTAGCTATTCAGCGAAGAGTGTTGTTTGAGAATCTCCATCTTCTTCAATGAAACCCTCTCTCTCTCGTTTAGCGTACATTCAAGTTAAAACACTAACTTTGAACACACGATAATAACTTGTATTATGAGATTCAAAAATTTACACAAGTTATTAAGTTATCACCATAAGAAACAAAAGGTGTGGTTACAACAAACACACCCCACCCCTTGTTGTTCACATGGTGATAATTAACAGTGTTAAAATTCTAAATTTAGAACAAATAAAAGTTCAGGCTCGTGCTACATATGTTAAAGTTTGAATTTATGGAAAGTCGTGTATTTAAAAAAACTTAACAAAATTACTTATATTCAGATAATTTTATGATTTCTAGACAATTTTATGAACATAATTCTTAGAAGATATTAATTCTTCAAAATGTATACATTTACAATTACACTTACCTGTTTAAAACATGGATTCTTAGAAATATTACTATTTACTTATTGATAAATATATTGTCAGTGGGTAATAACTGTTTCGGATGAAATGTGTGTTTTCACACTTTTTTCGGTGTAACTACTGTAGCATTACTTCACACCCATAAAGGTGTGAAATCACAAATTTTTTGGTGTAACTCATAAAGCAGTACCTCACACCCATAAAGATGTGAATCCACACTTTTTTCGGTGGATTCTTGGGTAACAGTACTTCACACCTATAAAGGTATGAAATCACACTTTTTTGGTGAACTCTTGTAGCAGTACTTTACACTCATAAAGCTGTGAAATCACATTTCTTTCGGTGAACTATTGTAGAAGTACTTCACACCCATAAAGGTGTGAATTCACACTTTTTTCGGCGGACTCTTGGGTAACAGTACTTCACACCTATAAAGGTATGAAATTACACTTTTTTTTTTGGTGAACTCTTGTAGCAGTACTTTACACTCATAAAGGTGTGAAATCACATTGTTTTTCGGAATGCTTACATATCCTTATTTTAGATTATACTTGAGCTGATCATCATTGTCTTTATACATTTCTTCTTTTCACATTATAATATCTTCTCTACTGCGTTCATAAAAAAAGTTATGTAGGTAAAGCTGGATATTTTTATATATAAATGGTGTTAGCTGTAAACAAATGGATACAAAAACTGAATTGAATAAATAGTTAGAGTAATGGAGAGTTAATAATACCGTAATAATTAGATTTTACCGTTAAAATACCTCATAATTACTTATCATTGTAAAAGATTATTTGTGATTTGAAAATCTACTAAGAAAATAATCGTTGCAACTTCAATGCCAGGAGTACATATAATTTTTAATTCTGTTTGTTTGTTTTAGTTCAAAGCTACACGATGGGTTATCTGCGCTGTGTCCGTCACGGTTATCGAATCGCGAATTTTGAAACTGATGGCTGGGCTACCGGTAAAAATGGTTTTTCGTAAGCAACTGACTTTATGTTTATCTTAAACATAAGACTTCCAAGTAATTATTAATAACGAAACTGCTAATTAATTAATATTAAATAACTCAGTTTATACTCTTTTTACCATTCGTGTCTATGTGTAAATAAATAAAGGTCTGTTAATTACGTGTTTCATCATTCACTCGTTTATTTAATATATATTTAATTTAGGTAGACATTCGCCTGATGTTCAAAGAGTATTTTGATTTTCAATATGTGTATATATATATATATATGTGTGTGTGTGTGTGTGTTTCAAATGTATCCAGGCAAATATGATCGATTTGTATCATTTTATACATTACGTTCTGTAGGCAATAGAGTCGTAGGTTGGAATAAGTTCACCAATCTCACGATAAGCTTTAGTAATGAGCAACGTGATTGGTGGTTAGGTTTCTCTCGATTCAACTCAAGTATGTAAGTGAAGGGATTCCGCCACAGTCCTCATGGTTTATTGACCGCCTCGACCTGTTGGACTCTAGTAGAAGGTACGTTTATTCCATCTTTCTACACCCAAGCCAAGAAACTTTTTCAAGTTGTTGTTGTTATTAAGCACAAAGCTACACATAGGGCTATCTGTGCTCTGCCCACCACGGGTATCGAGACCCGGTTTCTAGTTTCTAGCAGTATAAGTCCGCAGACATTATACTGTGCCACTGGGGGGCAACTTTTTCAACCCCTTAAATACATAGATTCAGAGCATTTTTTCAGATATATAATTTATTAGCAAAAATTTGGAAGTTAAGATATTGTGGCTTAAACCTCAAGTTCAGGGTAATAACCTTATCCTTAATCATAAAACAAACACATCTTTTTCTTACTGATCTGTACTGAAAAGGCAGGAAGTGACATTAGTCATGAAAATTAAGTAAAAAAAAAATGTAACCAATACAGACTTCTGCATAGCTTCCTAAAGTTGCTGATAATTTAAAATGTATGAAAAATACCATTTGAAATACAGACCCCGAGTAAATATTTAACTGACATGCTGTATATGGTATTAGTTGAAATATAATAAATTACACTGGCCAACAAGTCATTTTCATGAGATATAATTATAGGTGGGCAAGAGAGCTCTTGGAACGCTGATTCCAAATCTGTTTTTGGTTTTCTTCTAGCACGTCAAGTTTTTGTGACGAGACCGATCAAATTTGAAAGGTCATTTCCTTAATTATAATTGAAGTTGCTATTCAGTTCTTTTTTTTTCCATAAGTGTACTGTATGAATTTAACCAACAGTATGGTGTGTATAACGTTTATGGGAATTATACTGAAAAATGCATAAAGTTGTAACGTTAACTAGCCTAATGTGTGATTATTACCTAAATTGTGCTGAAATTAACACCAGTCATATTTCGATAACTAGATATGCTAGAAGAAAACCGAAAATAGATTTGGAACCAGCATGCAAAACTGATCTAGTAAAGTGTGCTTACATCTTTGTTGAAAGAAAAAGTTCGATTTTGTCGACCAGTGTTATGCTGAATTTAGTTGGTTTAAACTGGTATGACACGCAAAGTAATTTTATAACTATGCAACTGATGGAAGTTCAAGTTAGTTAAAATATATAACAAGAATTAGTTATATAACTTGCTGAAGCTTTCGTTAGCTACATTTATAAGACACGAAATAGTTATGTAACTGGTTGTAACTTGTGTTGGTTACATTTATAAAACATGAATTAGCTCTGTAACTGACTGAAACTAAAGTTAGTTACAGCTATAAAATACAAAGTATTTATGTTAACAGCTGTGAAGCACGAGGTGATTTGTATAACTGATTATCACTTAACGTTTATGAAAAGAGAAATAACCTCATAACTAGTTAGTCAGAGTAAGAATGATAAGGTAAGCTACAGAAATATTTGAAGGTAGTATTATCTAAATCGTAAGAAACAAGCAACTGGACAAAGTTCGTATTAGTTTAAAAAATGTGGAAAATAAAGTAGATATATGGCTATTTATGTAATTAAATTTAACATTAGTTTAAAGTATGTGACGGTTAAAATAATGCATAAGTACAAAACCGGATAAAGCTAGTATTAGCTGATTTCGTATGAAACAAAGCTTGATCATTGTTGTAGTAAATCAACAATACACGATTTGTAACCACATTGCTATACTTATTGTACATGTTTCGACAGTACGGTTTGTTGATTTACACTGTATCAGCATAATATGCTTCCATACACAAATTCTAATAATTATTATTACATTCATTGTTTCACAGAAATAAAATAATCATTATATTGCAGAGTTCTGTAAAAAGATAAGAGTAGTTAGATTAATGCATTTTACAACAAAACAGTAGTATGAACACGTTGAACAACAAAATATTAGAAGTCAAATCGTGGAATTTTACTAATAGATCAGAGTAATTAAACTAACGTATTTCATTTCCAAAACAGTAGTAATCAGTTAAAAGAGATCAATTAACATACCAGAGTAATTAATTTAATGTGCTTCATACTTGGGCTGTAGTAGTCAGATAAAGGTGCTTTATTAACAAACCAGACTAATAATTAAACACAGTAGTAGTTAGGACAAAAGCTTCATTACATACCAGAGTAATAATTAAATATTGTATTACACAACAATACAGTAATACTCAGATCAAGAAGCTTCATCAACAGATCAGTGTAATTAAGGTAATGTCTTTCACAACAATACAGTAATACTCAGATCAAGAAGCTTCATTAACAGATCAGTGTAATTAAGGTAACGTGTTTCACAACAATACAGCAGAATTCAGGTCAAGAAGTTTCATTAACAGATAAGAGTAATTAAAGTAATATGTTTCACAACAATACAATAATACTCAGGCCAAGAAGCTTCATTAACAGATCAGTGTAATTAAGGTAATGTGTTTCACAACAATACAGTAATACTCAGGTCAAGAAGCTTCATCAACAGATCAGTGTAATTAAGGTAACGTGTTTCACAACAATACAGCAGAATTCAGGTCAAGAAGTTTCATTAACAGATAAGAGTAATTAAAGTAATATGTTTCACAACAATACAAT